GAAGCCAGAAAAAATTTTTTAATGTTTATTTATTTTTGAAAGAGAGAGACAGAGTGTGAGTGGGGGAGGAGCAGAGAGAGAGGGAGACACAGAATCTGAAGCAGGCTCCAGGCTCTGAGCTGTCAGCAAAGAGCCCGATGCGGGACTTGAACCCACGAACCGTGAGATCATGACCTGAGCTGAAGTCGGACGCTTAACCGACTGAGCCACCCAGGGGCCCCGGATCCTCTGCATTTTAAAATATTATCTCAATTGTACAGAAATACTGAGAAAGCCAGACAAAGCACACAGTCCGTCTGTGGATTCCTGGTTTGTGAATTCTAAGGCTCATAGCCCTGACTAACCTCGTGGATTCGTAATGTGTGAGCTACTGATCATTCTTTTTCACACCGAGGATCAGTTGCTGCCTGAATTGAGCTGACGGCGGGATGAGCCACACATCGGACACGCAGTAGACTACCAACATTTAAAGCCTAGTTTGTGACAGGTGCTTTACGTGCATTATTCCATCGAATCCCCCACAACAGCCCTGTGCGAGAGAGTTATTATCTCCGTGTTTCTATAAGCTGAGGCTTATGAGGGGCTAAGTAGAGCTGTGGCATACTCTGGGTCCCGCGCCTGGGTCAGACGCGCCAAGGTACGTTCCCACCGGTCCGAGGGGTGACAGGTGGGACATGAACGCAGAAGGCTCTTTGCAGCCCAGGGAAGAAACCAGCCTCCAGGAGCCATGAACTATCTTAGGGGGTAACCGCGCAAGGCAGTGAGGGAGGGCTTGCAGAGGAGGCCTAGGCATGCTCCCGGCTCCTCTTTTGGTACTGATGGAGACTTTGGCAAGTTACTTAGAGAAGCAGTGATGGAGGTCGGCTTAGGGGCTTCCTGAGGACAGGATGTTCTCTTTATCGCTCAGCAAGTCCTGTTCTAAAACTCAGAGCGTGGCAAGTTGAAATTCCAGTGAACCGCGCTGGAGTCTAGTCACAGACTTGATAACTTTCTGAATGCAGAACTGGGGTTTGTAATGAGTCCAGAAATTTTAAATTAAATTTCTTCAGAAAGTTCAGGACCGAATGAATGTCTCTGTACAACCAAAGTCTGCAAGAGTCTTTGGCACACGAGCAACTAAGGAATAGATGAGGTGGATTTCATCGAATTTAAAATTTTGTGCTTTGAAGAACACCATCAAGAAAGTGAAAAGACAACCCACCGAATGGGAGAAAATATTTGCAAATCATATACCTGATAGAGGACTTGGAGCTAGAATATATAGAGAACTCTTCGAACTCAATAATAACAAGACAACCGGACTTAAAAATGGGCAAAAGAGGCGCCTGGGTGGCTCAGATGGTTAAGCGTCCGACTTCGGCTCAGGTCATGATCTCGCAGTTTATGGGTTCGAGCCCCGCGTCGGGGTCTGTGTTGACAGCTCAGAGCCTGGAGCCTGATTCAGAGTCTGTGTCTCCCTCTGTCTCTGCCCCTTCCCTGCTCATGCTCATGCTCTGTCTCTGTCTCTCTCTCAGAAATAAATAAATATTAAAAAAATTTTTTAAATGGGCAAAAGATCTAAACAGACATTTCTCCAAAGATTTGTGAATAGCTAATAAGAGCATGAAAAGATACTCAACAGCACTCATCATCGGGGAAATCAAATCCAAATCACAAGGAGGGGCGCCTGGGTGGTTCAGTCAGTTGAGCATCGACTCCTGATTTTCGGCTCAGGTCATGATCCCAGAATCGTAGGATCGAGCCCTTTGTCAGGCTCTGTGCTGAGCACGGAGTCTGCTTAGGATTCTATCTCCCTCTGCCCCTGTCCCCAGCTTTTGCAGTCTCTCTCTCTCTCAAATTAAAAAGAAAATCACAATGAGTTACCGCTTCGCACTCACTAGAATAACTAGAATACAAAAGAGAACAATAAGTCTTGGCGAAGATGTGGAGAAGCTAGAACCCTCATACACTGCCGAAGGAACGTAAAACGGTGCAGCCACTTTGGAAAACAGTCTAATGACTCCTCAGAAGGTTAAACGTAGAGTTACCATATGACCCAGAAATTCCGCTGTTGGGTCCATAGTCAAGAGAAACGAATGTGTCCATATGTGTCCATATAAAAGCTTGTACCTGAATATTCATAGCAGCATTATTAATAACAGCCAAAAAGCAGAAACACCAAATGCTCATCGACTGATGAATGGATCGATAAAAGATAATATGTTCATACAATAAAATATTATTTTGCCATAAAAAGGAAGTAAAGTACTGTTCCATGTGACAACATGAACATGAACCTTGAACACCTCATGTTAAGGGAAAGAAGCCAGATACAAAAGACCACATATCGTAGGAGTCCATATAGGAAATATGGGCAATTTCCATATAGGATGGGCAATTGATAGAGATTGAAGGTATCTAATTGCCTAGTTGTAGGGGTGATTAGGGAGTGATGGCCAAAGAGTATGAGGTTTCTTTTTGAGGTGATAAAGTTGTTTTAAAATTGATTGTGGTGATAATTTCACAACTCCACGTATATTAGAAACCATTGAATCACATATTTTAAATGAAGGAATGGTATGGTGTGTGAATTACATCTTAATAAAGCTGTTACCACAGGGGCACCTTGGTTGGCTCAGTCGGTGAAGCGTCCGACTTCGGCTCAGGTCATGATCTAGCGGTTTGTGAGTTCGAGCCCCGGGTCGGGCTCTGTGCTGACGGCTCGGAGCCTGGAGCCTGCCTCGGATTCTGTGTCTTTCTCTCTCTCTCTGCCCCTTCCCCAATCACACTCTGTCTCTCTCTGTCCCTCAAAAATAAATAAACATTAAAAAAAATTAAAAGAAAGTAAAGCCGTTACCACAAAAGTGGCCTTTGGATTGGAATTTAATAGCAACGCAGTGAAGAAAAGAGAATCGATGCTCCTGAAAGGTCTAGTCTGCATCAGGACCGGAGCCCGTACATCTTAGTTACTCGACCCATTTAAATATCCTAAATACCGGCCTGTTGCTCATTTACTTCCTTGTGAGTGACTTCTTCACATCCTGGCGCAGCAAATGCCAGCCGAGCCAGACGGATTGTCTTGGAGGTCAGGAGGACATCTCGGCATATTCTAAATCAAGCTGGAAATTTCCTGCCTTGTTAGTTCCTGCCAGCACGATGCGGCACAGAAAGGAGACACGTGGCTTCCCCGGCGTTGGGCCGCCCCACGGTGCGCGGAGAAAAGAGCTGTGTGTAATCTGCTGGAGGCGGGTGTGCAAGCCTGGGGTGCAAGTCCGAAACCAAGCGGCACCCACCGCCCACTGCAGCCCTCCGTCCTCAGGGGGCGTCCTGGGCCATGGCGTAGGGCCCCCTCGCTCCCAGGTCCGGGTTGTTTTCCTTCTGAAGAGATGGTCATACAACTGCCTCTTAAAACCGTGCTTTGTAAACCATGAACTTGAATGTCTATGCAAAGAAATGAGCCAGTGAACATGTAAATGACACTTACTTCCTTTTAAGCTATCGTGGAGTGTTTGCGGAATCCTTCCATGCTTTAAAGAGTATAGTTTCACTCCGCACACGCAGGGTGCTTTTACCCTCCGCCGTGGCTTAAATAGTCAGACCCGAGTGCACGGACGTGGTCCGCGTCCTTGTCGTTACCGGCAGCGGGGTATTTGAGATCACTGTACAATTTGCTCAGCCGTTTCCCCTTTTCTGCGTGTCTGGCCCGATTCCAGCTTTATACCGTGTTAAATTGCAGCTGCTGTGTATATATTTGTACATATTAGGTTGTTGTTTTTTTCTCTTTCTTCTTAAGCATTATTTTCCTGTAGCGTATTCCCCAAAGCGGAGTTACCGGGTCAAACAGTTCTGTAGCTCTTGTTACTTATTGTCCAATTTTTCTCAAGAAGAGGAGAAACATTGTGAAGAGCCACCAGCCATGTAAGCATATTCTCATTTCCCTAAAGTCCTGCCAGCATTGTCCTTTATTCTATTAAAAAAAAAAAAAAAAAAAAAAAAAAAAAAAAGATTGTGCTAAATAGGTGGGAGATTTTTTTTTTTTTTTAATTTTTTTTTTTCAACGTTTATTTATTTTTGGGACAGAGAGAGACAGAGCATGAACGGGGGAGGGGCAGAGAGAGGGAGACACAGAATCGGAAACAGGCTCCAGGCTCCGAGCCATCAGCCCAGAGCCTGACGCGGGGCTCGAACTCACGGACCGCGAGATCGTGACCTGGTTGAAGTCGGACGCTTAACCGACTGCGCCACCCAGGCGCCCCGAGATTTTTTTTTTTTATGTTTATTTATTTCTGAGAGAGACCCAGAGCATGAGTGGGGGAGGGGCAGAGAGAAACAGAGACACAGAATCCGAAGCAGGCGCCAGGCTCCGAGAGGTCAGCACAGAGTCCGACGCGGGGCTCGAACCCACGAACCGTGAGATCATGACCTGAGCCGAAGTAGGACGCTCAAGAGACTGAGCCACCCAGGCGCCCCGGGAGATTGTTTTAAGTGACATTTCTATCATTGCCGGGAGTTTGAAATCCACCAGTTTGGCGTGGGGCCAGACGTCCAAAGGGCCATGTGGGGACCCCAGCGGGAAAGCGGGCAGTGAGCCCCACCCAGGGAAGGAGGAGGGGCTCACTGAGAAAGCGCCACCAGCATCCGGGTGCATTTCCCCTCTGACCTAAGTCCCCAGCCTGCAGACCTGCTGGTTCCTCGGCCAGGACGCCTCCCCCTGCTCACAGCTCTTGCTAATACCCATAAATGTGCATCATCTTTTCCAAGTTCATTCCCGACCTGCCGTTCTGGGTTAGGGGCTGCTGTCTGTGTTCCCACAGCATCCTGCCCTCTGGCCCTCCTTACACGCGTCCCACTGGACTGTGGCGGTTGGTGCCATGTTTCCCTGGGACCAGGGCGTGGTTCGATTTGGTGAAAGAATGGGTGAATCGATGAGAGGATGAACTAATCAGCCCTGGTACTCACAGTGGCCGCCGGGGCTCACAGTGTCCAGCAACCCGGGGCGGAACCAGAAATCTGTGAGACGTTCTAGACAAGGGAGCCCACGGGTGCTCCTCACTTCAGAGCCCAGAGACGAGCCCGACTCCTGGGGCAGGAGCAGGGGAAGGAGTGGTCACCACGGATGCGCTAACAAGCTCCAAACAAGCCCTAATGAACTAGTTTTCAACCAGTTTGATCTAGTTTTGATGCAAGGCTAACTCCCCACACGACCTCGGGATCGTTACTTCTGATTGTAGTGACCATGAACACACCTATCAGTGTGGGGACAGATGTGACTGTGCCCATTTAAGGGAAGAAAAGAGGTGACACTCTGATTCTGAGAAGCCCTCTCTCCTTCCCCCCAAAACCTCCCAGGTCAGCTTGCATCTGGGCCCCTTAATGACTCCAAACTCATTACCCTCTGACCATGAGACCTTTTGGGGAGAAGGTGCCTTTAGAGCCTGAGCCCCCCTTCTCCATTCTCTGGCCATTGAATAAGTTACCTACTTGCTGACAAATACTGTTCAGTCACTTGGCAAGAGGCATTCGGTAGGGAAAGAACCTACCTCTCCAGTGACAGGGTTGAGGGCTGGCAGACTTGTTCCATGGTTATCTTTCCGCTTCAGTGAAATTAGGATCGCTTCCTCCAACCATTTTTCAGGCTCTCGTCTTTGTTCTAATGGCTTTTATGAAACGAGACCAGAAAATACAAAATACACAAAAATCCATGAATCACAACCTTGTTCCAAGGAAACAGCTTTCCTTTTCTTCCAGGTTGATCTACAAAGACCCTACCAACCGTCACACGTGTACCCCATCCATTGGCGGTCCAAGTCTGCTTGTTACCACCACATTGGGTTTAGTCCACAAGCGTTAATGAGCAAATGCAAAGTTCCAGAATCCCTGTGGGCCACGGTGGGCGTCCTCACATTGGGTGGCTGGGTACAGAAATTCTAATCTGAGGCAACTGCCAGGAATACGAAACAAACCAAACAAATAACAGTAGATTTGAGCTGAGAGTGGTGCTCAGTCGAGGTCTAAGAACAAGAAGGATGATGCCAAGGGAGTGCCAAACCAAAGCTCTCAAGAACGTAGCCAGGAAAGAGGAGAGCTGAGGGCACGGACCAGAGGTGTCGGTCAAGGGGAGGCTGTATGGTCAAAGCCTTGCATTAAGTCGTCACTGCAAAATGCAGTCTCAAGAGCCAAATGCACCAGGAGTAGAAAACGCTTCCAGAAAGGAATAGAATATGGCCATCGCCTTCCAGGGCTTCCTCAATTATCCAGTCAGCAGGGAAGGCAGACAGAGAAACAGGCCACTAGTCACACCCACAGAACGTACTGGGAAAAACAAAAATTAATTCCCATCCATGATCATTTAACTTTTTTACACTGACGGTAAATATGTGAACAACAACTTTTTTATTTGTCAGCTTAGACAGGCTGCACATTAGTCTTCGCTTAAGCAAAGAGTTTACCTTTTATGTCTTTTATGTTAAAAATGGTAGCATACACCAATGGAATAGAATAGAGAACCCAGAATTGGACCCACTGATATATGGCCAACTAATCTTCGACAAAGCAAGAAAGAATATCCAATGGAAAAAAAGACAGTCTCTTTAACAAATGGTGCTGGGAGAGCTGGACGGCAACATGCAGAAGGATGAAACTAGACGGCTTTCTTACACCGTACACAAAAATAAATGCAAAATGGATGAAAGACTTAAATGTGAGACGGGAAACCATCAAAATCCCAGAAGAGAAAACAGGCAATAATAACCTCTTTGACTTTGGCTGCAGCAACTTCTTACTTGACATGTCTCCAAAGGCAAGGGAAATAAAAGCAAAAATGAACTGTTGGGACTTCATGAAGATAAATGCTTCTGCACAGCAAAGGAAGCAATCAATAAAATGAAAAGGCAACCCGTGGAATGGGAGAAGATATTTGCAAATGACATGTTGGATGAATGGTTAGTATCCAAAATCTGTAAAGAACTTATCAAACTCAATACCCCAAAAACAAATAATCCGGTGAATAAATGGGCATAAGACATGAATAGGCACTTTTTCAAAGAAGACATCCGGATGGCCAGCAGACACATGAAAAGATGCTCAACATCACTCATCATCAGGGAAATACAAATGAAAACCACACTGAGATACCACCTCATACGGTCAGAGTGGCTAAAATTAACAACTCAGGAAACAACAGATATTGGTAAGGATGTGGAGAAAGGGGAACCCTCTTGCACTGTTGGTGGGAATGCAAATGGGTGCAGCCGCTCTGGAAAACAGTGTGGAGGTTCCTCAAAATATTAAAAATAGAACTATCCTACAACCCAGCAATAGCATTACTAGGAATTTGTCCAAAGGATTCAGGAGTGCTGATTCACAGGGGCACATGTATCCCAATGTTTATAGCAGTGCTATCAACAATAGCCAAATTATGGAAAGAATCCAAATGTCCATCAACCGATGAATGGATAAAGAAGATGTGGTGTATATATATATGTATATATATGCACAATGGAATACTACTTGGCAATCAAAAAAAAGGAAATCTTGCCATTTGCAACAACATGGATGGAACTAGCGGGTATTATGCTAAGCGAGATCAGTCCATCAGAGAAAGACAAATATCATATGTTTTCACTCGTGTGGAATTTGAGAAACTTCACAGAAGACCATGGGGGAAGGGAAGGAAAAAAG